CTTCTCTTCTACTAGTTCTTCCATTGAATTGGACGAGCAAAAGAGCTTACTGCTCTATCGGCTTATTCAGGAATTGATAAATAATGCACTTAAATATGCTCAATGCAAAAGCGTATTTGTACGGCTTGGCAGTGAGGATACTACTTTAGACATTAGTGTGGAAGATGACGGCATTGGGCTGCCGGACGAAGTGAGGACGCATGGTTTAACAAGTATTAGAAAACGCATAAAATCATTAGGGGCAAACCTTTCTATTGAATCAGTGGCGCAGGAAGGCACCACTATTAAAATAACCTATAAGAATGAGTAAGTACACGGTGTTGATAGGCGACGATCATGAATTGATCCTAAACGGGCTTAGCGCGTTATTACTGAAGGTTGATGAAATAATACTTGTTGATACGGCTAGTAATCGGGCAGATCTGTTTGCGAAGCTTGCTGTAAAATCGTACAACATTGTGTTTATGGATATTCATTTTGGCAAGCACGACGGTCGCGATATTGCAGTAGAGATCAAACAAAAATTTCCGGAAACAATACTTGCGGCACTCACCAGCTTTGATGATAAAGACACCATACAATCTACAGCCAATGCAGGGTTCAATGCATTCTTCCTGAAGTCGGATGACGTAAAGGAAATAACAGCGTGGTTACAGAAAGGAGAATTTGACACCCTGTATCTGAGCGCGCAAACCCAAAACACCTATACCCGGCACGCATTGGCAAAAGACAATAAAGCAAGAAATCTTATTCATCTTACCGATCGGGAAAAGCAAATTTTACGCCTCATTTTAGATGAAAAAACAACAAAGCAAATTGCTGCAATAATGTTTCTTTCAGAGAAGACCATTGAAAACTACCGAACTAATCTGATGCATAAATTGGATGTTACCAATATCGCCGGCCTTGTAAAAAAAACCATCCTGCTCGGCTTACTCAATTAAATTAATCAGGGAAAACCCTAAACCCCAAAAGAGGGCTTTCCCTCTATTTCGAAGGATTGTCTCCTACCAATTTTGTGATAGAAATTACTTCTAAACAAAATACCCCTGTTATGAAAAAAGCAACCTTCTTTTTAGCATTTATGCTGCTAGCCATCTACAGCTATAGCCAGCA